GCGGGGAACTCTGCAAAAAACGCATCTTCGCACGGGCAGCCCGTGCGTTGGCCAATTTTTTATATTGTTTTTGAAGCGTTGATTGTTTGTGACAAAATGCTACTGCCACTCGGGCAACGTCCCCATGGCCGGTAAAAATGCGCCCCAAGGGTTTTCCCTCACCTACACACACCCACACACACGCACACACACACGCACACATACACACACATTTCATGAGTTTCCGAAAAAAATTTTGATATATTTATTTTTAATTTATGCGAATTTTGTGGCAATTTTTGTTTTTTTTGCAATGGGGCTTTTGTTCCAGGAATATCCGATGGCTTGATAATACTACTGTAAGCGCGGCGTTGAGGGATGAGGCGTGCGGTAGCGGGGCTGATTATTGCTTTCGTAATCATGCATGTGCTCTTTTTCGTACTCAAATATTACGTCACCGGTGTCCCGTATGCACTGGCTGCTCGCGTGCACATCCTTGCGATGCAGCAGTTTATCATGATTTGTGGAACAGCGTTCATCTGGTGCCAACTGTCGCCGGCCATCGATTTGTAAGTTCTCGGCTTCACGAATGTTCACGCACAGTTCCTGGAGTTTGTTGCTCAGCGATTATTCCTCTAGCATTATGTATATATATATACATATATATATGTGTATATATATGTGTATATATATATGTATATGCCCTATCAGTCCTTTTCTTTTTTTTTCAGTTTTTTGACCGGTTCGTTGCAACCGGAGCGTACACGAGCAATTTGCGCACAGGATGTCGCTAGGGTAAGGAATTTTTTTTTTTCAAAATTATTTTCTAAATGAAACATGTGATCCATTTTTCTACTTTCTTTCACCAGCACTGCTTTTTATGCGTTTTTGCTGTGCTTTTTTCACTACTCACACAGAACGATGACAATAACGCCACAGATGTGCCGTTCCCCCTTGGTGCAAAGTCCTTTTTTATTCTCGATGTACTGTGTTATTCTTACGAACGGTAGCTACAGTAAGCGTTTCTGAGCCGATTGTAGCAGCCAGATTGACCCCGGAAAGCCTAAATGGTGAAGGTACGATAGAATGCGGAAAGAAAGGACAGTATATGAGGAAAAAAGGTAAGAGCGAGATAAGACGTTTCGGTCCTTTAAGAGTCATATACGCCTTAACTCAACATCGCGCGACGGCATCTCGTCAGTATGACGGCCGCAGTGCTTAGTGGAAGAGGAAAAAAAAAAGAGAAAGGCAAAAGAAAGAAAGAGAAGGGGTCCTTTTCCTTCACAAAGTAACCAACAACTTTTGCGAAGAACTTTGCCAGTTTTAGGCACTTTTAATTCTTATGCTGGTTTTCACGCATCTTTGCTCGCTCTTTTACTATATTTGGGTTGGCGCGGAGCCGAATGTGTTAGCTGTGATTTCGCTCACATCCGTGGCCATCTATATTCATGTGATCTTCTTCCTGCTTCTTTTTCTATTGATCCAGGCAATCTGTCACATAGCACTTCGCATTGATGATTCCCGTTTCGACTTTGTCAGGTTTTTTCTCAGAATCTTTCCTTTTTTTTGTGAACAAAAACAAGCCTTTTCTGGCCTGGCCTTATGTCTTTCATTGGGTTGCTCAAAATCTATCCCTACACACATGATCAAGCCAGGGGGTGCAGTATCCGGAGCAGACGGGGTTTTTTTTTTCCGAGAGGCGAGATAATGGTGGCTTAAATGTACTAGTATTTCAGACATTCTAACACCAATTTCCGTTCGATATACTGAGCTAAAAGATTTCTTAGGCTGCTTTTCCTGTGTCGAGCTTCGAAACACATCTGTACAGCGGGGCTTTTCGACCATTTTTCTGGCATTCAGAATTGTCCGTGATGCCGTAATTAGTTGAATGTTAACTCGGTTTCAGTGAGATGCTGCACTTCGCCTCCTCTTTCGCTTCTTGCTTTTGAAATGTGTAGTAGGAATTCGAGTGGTGTTAAAACACTTCGATAGTCTGATGAGGTATTTTGTCCGGCCAAGCTTGCGGCCTGTTGACTCGGGATAATTGCACTATTAGCGACAGCTAGAGACTGAGAATATGAAGATCTCAGTTTGTTACTTTTGTCCCGTGTTTTAACTCCAGTAATATCAAGCAAGACGAATGCTTAAACTACTCTCCGAGCCTGCATTTTTCCCCTATTCTTTTTCTACAGTTCCAGAAACGCACGAAAATCTTTTTACTTTGTGAACAGCTCTTAAAACACTTTGTGTGGCAAAAGTCTTTCTTCAGGCCGTTGATCATGAACGAGCTTTTGCACCGTATTTTCGCTGTTGCACTGGCAATTGCATTCGTGGTCGCTGGACTTTGGGTCACTTCATTACCACCGGTCATCTATCGTGTCACCGTTCCAATCAAAAATTTGCCACAGGCCCAGGAAGGTTTCCGAATAGCTCTCTTATCAGATCTCCATATCGGGCCAACTGTTGGCCGGGCAAAAGTCGAGAGAACAGTAGCCATTACAAATGCACTGAAGCCAGGTAGCCGTGCAGTCGTTTTTTGTTTTTTTTGTAACAATATTCTTGCGAGCAACAGCATAAAATTTTGCAGTGCTCCATGTTGTGGATATTTTCAGATTTGATAGCTATTGCCGGTGATCTTGCGGATGGCTTTGTTCAACATTTGTACGGAGCAGCCCTTCCTCTGCGAAACCTGTCATCTAAACACGGGACATATTTTGCTACGGGTATGTAAGCCGTATGTGAACCTTCCGGGAACTGCGTACTTTTCAGCGAGCTTTAGTTTTTTTACATTTTATGCTGTGCAGCAGCTGCACAAAACGCATATTGTCCTCAATTTTCAACTCTGAAAAAGCTAGGATGTTGAAATTCTAGGATAACGTTCCTCGCTTACCTGCAACTCCGCAAATTTATTTTCAGCCTTCCCTTATGCTTGAATACTACGTACGACCCCGTAGAAATTCTGGCGAGAAAAATTATCTCTGGAACCAAGAAAAGCTGGGGATCTAAAAATAGAAGAATTTTCCCCGCTCACATTAACTCCGCAGATTCAGCTTCAGCCTTCTCGTCCGTCTGGGTACCACGTATAACCAGGGGAAGTTTTGGCGGGAGGAATTATTATCTCAAAAATCACAGAAGCTAGGAATTTGAAATTTTTGGAAGAATGCTCTCTGTCCACGTATAAATTCGGCCACAGCGCACCACTAAGTCTCACTTACGGAAAAGTGAAAGTTTCGGTGCCAAATTTAATGATTTGGGAACTACGGAAATTTTTACACATATCAGGCAGCAAAACACTTCTAACAGTATGGTCTAAGAGGACGCTTGGACAGAGGTGCACAAGCGTCCGCTCGACAAGATTGCACAAGCGTCGGCTGGGCAGAGTTGCACAAAAAGCATAATCGCATCAGCCACCCTTTCGCATTTTACTGAACGGCTATGCCTTGCAGGTAATCATGAATACCTTCATGGGAATGTCGATGAATGGTTCGGTTTTTTGAAGAGTATTGAAATCATGCCGCTCCATAACGGGAATCGGAGAATCATTGTTGTCGATTCGGTGATTTGTTTAGCCGGTGCTGATGATTTATTTGCAAGAGAATCACGGTAATTTTTCTATTCCTGAGATAAATTTTTCCCGCTTCGGGTATGCCTTTTGGTGATGTTCTTGGCGTATTTCTTATCAAACCTTGTGCTTCTATGTGGTACATATTTTTATCGGTTTTAGATGGTAATTGGTTATAAGTAGAATGGGATCGATGTGTCGGGTGTTCCAGTAATAACACTAGCATGGGATCCCCACAGTGGATTACCGCAACAGTTTTATTATTCTTAATTTACGTATTTTTACACAGTGAAATTTAAAAATGGTTCTTATTTTTGCCGTGAACGGTGAAAACTGGCCCTCCGTATGCATGAATTCTTTTATTCACTGGAACACTTGAGCAGCTGTATGTCTCAACGTCCATTGTCACGCCATCGATGCACTGCTGGCAACTTCTCCATCCGATTCGTTGTTGCGCTCTCCGAGTCCACGCGATACTGTTCAGGCGTACAGTGGGATCTCTCCACCTCGCTGGTGAGCCTCCCCAGTGTTCGCTTGACTTTGCGCGAATGCTATTCCATTATCCGCTTCGTCTGATATTTCTGTCATATGGCCAGCCCATCTCCTCTTTCTGGCGTATATTGCTTCAGTAATGTCTTTCACACTAAACCTGGCTCGTAGCACTTCATTTGGAAAGTGCCGTAGCCTGTTGGCGTCAGTCATTCGCCGCTCCATTATTCTTTGAGAGACAGCCAGTTTCGTTCTTCAGCATGCATGGTGTTCCACGTCTCACACCCACATGAATTTTTTTTTTTTTCTGTAAAATACTGTATTTGATCGGCTTCTATAGAGACTGTGCACGCAAAATCTGTTTTCATTTTTTGACCATCTCTTTTTGTAGCGTTCGAGGACATGCAATGGACTACAAAAAAGCGCTTCGAGGTTGCCGCAGAAATGACACAATCATTATATTAATGCATCAGCCAAATGCAGCCCGTATGCTCCTGAATGATGTTGAAACTGCTGAGGACGTTGATCTCATTCTTTCAGGTCAGTGACCATCTTTTTTTTTCATTTGTACTGGTCGTTTCTATCACGGTGCATTTACTTTGAGACATCCTGTAGGCGCATCCAGACCCCCTTTCTTCTCCCCCAGCGACACAGGTACCAGTGCCACAAAAGTCTGGATCTAATGCTAAAACTGAAGAAAGCTCTCTTCCGCACCCCCTCCGCCCTTCTCGCCCGCGCAGGAGGTCGCCCCGGAACCGCCTCTGCTTCCACTGTCGAACCAGCTTGCAATTTTTCGTTTCTGACCAAGCTTCGCCATCGGGAGGTCAGTTTGCTGTTGGTTCTGACATACGTTTCCTTTGTTTTTCTTTCTAAAGGCATATATCCCCCCATCAGCAACACGGGTATTAGTGTTTGGGTATTAGAGTTCGGGTCTAAAGCTAAAACTAAAGAGAACTCTCTTCTGCACCCCCTAGTCCTCCCTTCTCCTTAGGAGCCTCAACTCCGCCCCCCCC